CTCTCACCCTTTATCCCCATGATGGTCCAATACGTCCAGTACAGCAATCCGCCAGGCGTTACAGTCCGATTGTGAAACGTGCGCCCTAGTGAGCAGTGCCTGTTTTTACAGAGAAAACGATAAAGCAGGAACCCAGGGACTCGAAGGAACAATTGGGCAGAGATTGGGTGTCGCCGGTACCGGAAGTCGAGGTCGGCGGTTCAGCGCCAGGAGGTCCTCAAGTGCGGGCACGAAAGGATATTCCACGCGGAGCACGATTTGGACCGTTTTTAGGAAAATGGGCTGACGAACCGTTCAACCCCCGTTACGCGTGGGAGGTGAGTTTGAATTATTATCATTATACATCTAATTCGTAAAGCAAAATTCGCAGGCGACCCTTATGCGATTTTTTTAAATTACAAAAACCCCACCCGGGCTACTTCGTGGAATATACGTGACGTAGCCGTCGATTTTTTTCTTTTTACCTAAAATCCAAAAATTCACACGAGATCCTCCGATAAAGCCATGATCACCGCGGGATTCGTCGAACCGTTTGAAAGATGATCGATCTGTTTATAGCCGCGTCCCGCAGGAGCGCAGCATCCCTTATATACTCCTATAGGTTTTCGTTATCCTATGCCAGCTTAATCCTCGGGTATTATCCGGCAGATGCCGAGAAGAGAGTCGTCCTTGGATGGTTCCATCGACAGGAGTCCCACCTGGTTGGGTTCCTGTCGATGGAAGGTGTCATCTATGCTGACAGATCTGTCAATCGGTACAGCCTCTTCTTGGACTTTCATATATATATATACATATATATATATATATATTGCCCTCTTCAGAGAATATTCATCCCGCTACTTTTACATTCATTTCATTTTTCTTTTTTCATCCCTTCTCTGACTTGGGTCACTCGGGGGTAGCACGAGGGTGTCCTAAGGGATGAAAGTCTCCATCGTTTTAAATACCTTTCCAAAATCATTATCCATCTCGTTGATAGATATGATAGCGGGCGCGAACGCATGTCGCACCGACAAAATGTAAATGACGCCATCCATCTAGGAACAACAAAAAGCCGTCGGACCAACTGTCGACCGGCGATTATAGGATCTATTAAAGCGAACTACCCCTTCGTTTCGTCAGCCGATCTATCAAGCCCACACACGGGGTGCAATGTCCTCCGTGTATTCTCACGTTGTTGAATTTCCTCGATTCGGCTGAAATAGGTATAGGTGGAATATGTATATAAATGGTATACAACTAAGAGTATATATAGTATACGACTGAAGGAAGAGAGGAGCATAGGGAAAGAAAGAAAAAAGTAACCCGCGCATGCGTGTTGCGTGTCAGAGAATATAGAAACCTTCGCGATCGGGATACCAACCCTAATCCTTTTCTTAGATTTAAAAAAAAAATATCCGATCACCCATTCCGGGCATTGATGCCAATCGTAGGTAGATCAAACCCAAACTATTCCCAGCCCTCTGCTTTCTGGCCACGTACCTAATCCTTTTCTCACATTGCAAAACTACGTAAGATCGGTACCCCATATATATAGACATACCATCGAGCGATGTCAAAGTGAAGAGAAAGGGGGTAGCAAATTTTTTTTCCTTATTCGAGAACCCAAAATTTCACCCTAAAATCCTACGATGTTTATTCATATCCCAGGGTTTGGGTTTTTTTTTTTTTTTTCTTTTTTTTTGGGAAAAGTAAAAAAATAGCTATGCCGCACCCTACGCACGTATCGTTCCAAGGCCACCTGCCGAGAGTTTGCCATTCGTTTTTCGTATACCACGTACGCGATGGCTGCTCGAAAAGTGGCGAGGGGACAATTTTTCAAAGGATGTTTAGCCCAGTGACGCGTAGGTAATGGAAGTAGGATGCGGTGTGCCTACGTGGCAACTAAGCCAATCGAAAGGGATCGGAATTCGATCGGCCGTAAACAGGCGTTATCCTGGCACGCACACGAGTTTTCTATCCAATTAAGGCTAACACGTGGATTTCTGTATAAAGCTTGAAAAAAGAAAAGATCAATCGGTCGCCCATTAGATACAGCCATGGAGACTCAGATATGTCTGTCCATTGAGAGTCTACGCCAATGCACTATCTCATAGCCACCTATACCTATATCGAGCTGTATCGTAAGGACAAGTAGTACTTGAATTATTTAATTTTCTTCGTGGCATCTCTTTCTATTCACCCGTACCACCCCGCTCTCCCTCTCTCTCCCACTCGTCGGAGCAAAAGGCACGTTTAGCTGCGAACTCTCGAACATATTGGTTTCGCGTGCTTTTTCTTTCCAGCCGATTGCAACGGGGCCCCTCGGGCTCTTCAGGGATCGTAGTAGCTACTCGTGTAGGAGTAAAAGGGAGATCGCGCCTTTTCCCTCTCTCTCTCTCTCTCTCTCTCTCTCTCTGGCTCACGCTTGTTTTTCATAGCCGCGCACACGCGTCGACTTTTTTGTCAAATCGTGCGGAAAGCCCGCGACCGTATGCCACTGACAAATTATATAAATGGCGACTCGGACAAAGGCCCCGGTCCATTTCTGTTCGTAGTAACCGGCCACCGTACGATATTCGACAAAGGGAACTGCGACGATTTCACGTTGGCAATAACGATTTTCATTCTTACCAATTTCATAATGACGTCAAACAGTTCCTCGAAACTCAAATCGTCCAAAGCCTCAAGCACACCGGACAACATTTGATACCCCATAGTCGGCGCACGTACTAGTGGCAGCCAAAGAGAAAAATCTTTACCTGAGCGTACCGCTATTTAAAAGTTACCATTATTTAAAAAAGGTACCAGTGTGAACGCACCCTTAGACGCTTTCGCGTGGTTGCTCGAAGATCGGTTTGTTTAAATCGACAGAGACATTTTTTTCTCAAGGCGTAGGGTTACGCGAGCCCGTGTTACTTTCTTCCAGGATTTCCTTCCTCCGTCTACCTTCTCACTTTGACCTACCTTACGTCACGTGTCTTTCTCTCTCTCTCTCTCTCTCTCACCTTCGTAGTCACCTCCCCGTCTACCCATTTAAATGTGAAAACCGTGAGCGCTCGTCCAGAATCGGCAGGAAACAAGTGACAATCAGGGACGCAGGGATTCCGCATTGTTAGCCTCGTCATACGAAGTTGACAAGCCTTCCCCACGATCGTCAAAGGAATCCCAGGGTCTCCTATGGTCATCCGAGCGAAATTTTACCGGTCAAGAAGCGGTCGGCCAGTGCCGTAACACCGGACTGAATGGGCCCTGGTGTTTCGTAACCCACCTTCAACTTAAATTATCCGATTCTCGAATTACACCGAGATTATTCACGTGTTCGGACTCTCTTTCTCTCTCGCTCGCGTCAATGGCCAGTCAGGATATCCTTGGGATACCTGCGTTCGAACTTGACAGCGATACCCTATACCTAGGTAATTGCATACACGTATCCAAAAATGAGCCTAGGTACAACCAGCGAGACCTGCGTTTATAATGGAGAATAAATGGTCTGTCGCGAAACCCAGCTCCTGAGTGTGTATATATATATATATATATATATATATATATATAAGTACAACACGTTCGGTTTTGTATGTTGAGAATAGAATAAAAAAAAAAAATTGTTATGCACCAGCGCGCAGACGTTAGAAAATTTTTTAAAATGCAGCAGCAAGTATAGACGTATATGCATATAACCCTAACTAGACCTTTTGCATGGAGAATCTCGTTTCTGATTGACAGTTTTTGTCCGCTCGGTGCCTTCTCGTATTATGTTAATATAGATATGATACCATTGTCGTTAGGGTTGCGCGGACGTGTATATTTTGACATTTAAATAAACTCGTGCGAGACAGGATCTCAACCCCATCGGTCTCGAGCAAGAAGCCGAGGGTGCGAAAAGGAGATGCAGGTCGACCCCATGATTTGAGAATTAATTGAAAAAAAAATTTTTGTTACAAAGACAAAATACACGATTGCCATAGTGAATTTTGAAAAAGAATTCTCCAGCCACTCGCCCTCCCTGATCGAGGCTGGGATGATTTATGCGGTACGAATCCAGCCACTGGATGCTGAGTACCTCGCAGCACGAGGGGTGATAAATCTCCGAGTCGTTACGGTGCTATCTGTCGAAAATAGACATAAGAGACACGTGTTGCCATGGCCGTCAGGCTGACCCGAACAGTTCAAAGTCATCGTGATCAGCCCTGAAGGGTGGCTCTGTCGTCCTTTGGGGTTGTCCCTCTCGCTGCGAATCTTTTTGACCCCCGTATATACAGTCCATGTTCCTCGTAACAGCTCCGGCCGTTCTACAGCGTGTCCGGGCGGTGGCTGCAGTGTGTACGGGGCTTTACCCATCTCTTTCCGTGTCTCTTGTTCTCCTTAGGTCGCCGCGCGTCCTCCTCGCCCCTCGTGACACGTCGTCCTTACACCCCAGGACTGCTGCGAAGGCACGGCATCTGGGTGCCAGGATCACGTGGGGTAGTCGTCCCGACCCCCTTGAGCCCCCCAC